GGACGGTACAGCCGGCATTGGTAAATACGTGGGGTTTAAATGCTTGTCAAGATTACACTTAGCAATACTAATTTATCACAACTGGTAGTCTCTTTTTTGAGCAGAGTCTTAATTTAGTTTTCTTTAGAAGAAGTGTGGTCAAATCTCTGAGCATGTGATTTCTTTGTTCCTGAGCAGCATCTTGAAATGCTAATAAAGCTATGGTAGCATTTGCTTAATGCAGAGTGTTTGATCTATGCTTTCTTGATTCCATTATGACTGAGGCAGATGCAAAGAGCTTTCTTGTGCGAAACGTATGTACTAGTTATGGGGAGGTTATTTCGTCGCAATTGCAGGCTGAATGAGCCAATGTCCTATCAGGTGTCTGTCACCAATTTCAGATTTTCTTTATGGAATCCTGCTGGCTGACTTCTTCAGCTGTGATGAGCTAATCTTTCCTTGACATTGTAATCACAATTCCTGAAAGGTCTGCAGAGCAGTTGCTTGCCTTTGGTTGCTGTTGTATCTGACGTTGACATATATATCCAGATCAGTAGGATCATTCTCCTATCTTAGTTTCATTATAATTCTGGATGGAATTAAGGATGATGATTCCTAGAATATCCCTACAGGCTTTACTTTGTCATTTGCAACATAACCAATTTACTAAAGGATGTGGTTATTTGCAGCATCTAGGTAGCAATAAAGCAGTGATACACAAATCTCTTGCATGTCATTGTTCTTGCTGTATGTTTGGGGGGTTGCTGCATAGTATGCTGACACTAGACTTACAGCTTGTAGACTGTCAGATTGTCATCTTGTTCTGCACCTTTAAATTCCACCCACAGTTTTTCATTTCGTGGCTGGTTTACAGAGCAGCTCTAATGGCTTGTGTATTTATTAGGGAGGCTTTGAAAGAGCACCTACATGGTTTACAGGCATGCATACAGCAGCACAAAATTCATTACCGTGCACCACATGCTGACCATGGTAATGCAGAAGAGATTACGTATGTCTTCCATGGCGTAACTTGTACGGCTGTCTAAACAAAGTCTTCAGGTTTGGGTAGTTGGGGTTTTCTTTGTTTTGGTTGTTTTTTTTACCCTTAGAATCAAGTTTTGTGAAGACTTTGCTTGTGCAAGACACTCTTGGTGTTGACCTCGTTTGAACCCCATATTTATTATCTTCATTTTCTCCAGCAGTCACACGCTGGCTTTAAAGCCCCGGTATCCAGCTGCACACTTCGGTGTCTCATCTCTTGCAGAAGTGGGAATAGTTGGACTTTCATGAGTTGCCTCAGCACCTGTGTGTCTGTCCAGAAGTATCATTTCTGTTTACCTCTGTCCTTTCCTCCAAGTCCTCCTCTGATCTGTGCTGTCTTCTGTCCCACATATTTTTAATCCTTTTTTTAAACAACTGTGAAAGTTGTTGCCATAACCAGTTAGCTGCCCTGTCTGCGAATATGGCAAGTCAGACAGTTCAGACATGATACTTCTCTCAGTAACTGTCTGCATGAGGTCCTGTATCCCTTTCTTTCCAAGGAAAAGTGATTTCCTTGAAAGATGGAGAATCATGGTGAAACTTTTTACAGCGTAGCTAATCAAAATCAGGCTTTATCCTTCAATTTGCATTATGGCTTCTTAAAATCTAGCAGCAGTCTGAAATAATTCCCAGACTCCTTTTGTTTTTCACTTGCTGCCTTAAGTAGTTTCAAACATTACTTTAGAAAGTAACAGAATTCCAATTTAAAAATATGGCTGGCAACAGATCAGATGTGGACTGAAACTTTTCAGCTTTTTAAGGGGTCATGAGATAGCAGCACTGCTCTGATGAACTTCATTATGCCATGTGAATATAAAATATTAATGTAAAGGGAGATTTGCAAAGGCATAAAGAAAAGGCACCTATTTTTTCAATGCATCTGGGAGTCTTAAATCTTAGTCTTCTATTTTAAAGTTACTTCTCTTGTGTTAAGATTGCAGATTAAATGTCTTTGAAATGTGTAAATTTTTGTATTAAAAAAAAAATTTGTGATCCAATCTTGAAATATATGTGAATTGTATTTCAGATCAAATCAGATTCCTCATAGAGTCGTATTGTGCACACATTTAGAGCATTTGCAATGCCCTGTCTTAGCCTCTGTTATGCATTCATAGTTGGAGGGAGAGGATAATAATGGATATTTAAGGTGCTGATGAACCAAGGCCTAAATTCTAATTGTTGGAAACAGCAAGTTTAGAAGTTGATGGGTTTATCAGGACAAGTTATTGTAATTGTTTAATATATGAGCAAGACCATTCATTTCACAAAATATCTGTAGTTCTTAGCATGTCCCCTCATATATAGTGTCATCTGTTAGTAAAAGCAGAGCTGATTAGCTTTATAATTTACAGTTAAGTAAATCTGTCAAGAAAATGGTCTTATTGTCCAGCTTGTCTTTTTGTAATGAGGCTGGGGATGGGGGTTAGCAACAGTGTGTTCACCCTCCTGGAGGTCATGGAGGATGGAAGGTACTAATGCATTCTAAGCTGAAAAGCTCACGCTTGACCTTGATGATTAAAGTTTTTCTTATGATCTAGCAGCATTTGAGCCTGAATTGTCTCTTAAGAAGTCAAAAGGTCTAATCAACATAATGAACAAACTCAATCATTAGTACTTTGGGGAGGGAAGTGCGTTAACACTGTAAGAATACCAGGCTCCCCCAGCTGCAATATGTGTGTTTGTAGGAATGGTTCATAGCTCGATTGTAAGAGCAGAAGCTGCTGTCACTGTGCTGGATGTACAGTGGAGCAGAGGAAGCTTCTGTTTGGCAGCGTGTAGTTCCTTCCACAGCGTTCATGCTCTTCTCTGGCCATGGGAGAAATTTTGGATTTTGTAGATTATAGGAAGGGCTGCTTGTTGCCTTTGAAGTGTTTTGTAAGTGAGGATTAAATGAAAGCTAAACCTTCTTCTGGTGAACAACTTCTCTGATCATGGACTTATCTACACTTTTCTTCATGTATTCCCAGCTGCTCTTTTCACACTCCAGATTGTATCTATGGCAGACAAATATTTTTCAGGCATCCTTTGTTACGTTCTGGTAGCTGAATTTGATGGGAAAGCCTTTTTCCTACTGGTCAAGCAGACGTTACATCCTGTTGTTAGTTGTACTGTTTGCCTGAGCCACGCTTGGAAAGTGCCTGTCACTGCAGTTTCTGTAGTAACAGATGCATTCGCAATCTCCTAAGATTTTCTTTTACTAATTGTAGTGCTCTGTACGATCCTGACTTTTCCTTCCTGGTACCTGAGAGAGAGTTTAAACAAAGTGTCTTGTCATTCTTTATCCTGATTAGAGCAAAGCCACAGGGAAAAAAAATTTTTTTTTTTTTTTCATACTCCTTGTCCTTAAAGATTGTAGTGATTTTGGTTTTCCTTGTAAATACCTGCTAGAGTAAATCAAAGACAGGTTATTATCTTTAAAATTATTATCCTGAAAGTGTAGTTTTCACATAAGAAACCTGCTTTCTTTTTCAAAACCATGGAAATTCATTGGCCCAAGGAAAGGATGACAACTTCTCTCTTTGAAAGAGACCCATCCTGTGCTTAGACAGTCACTTGCAATTGATCCCTTTTCTCACGTTAAGACCAGCCTGTGACCTCTGGCATTTGTTGACTGCTGGGTTAGAGGCGAGGTACATGGTATATCATCTTGGTGATTCTGGTTGCCCAATTCACTGGGGGCCAGGGAGAATTTTACTACTGTGATCTGATTATTTGAAGCCAAATATTTCCTTCATTTTCCTTACAAATTGTGTTTAAAAGGGACATAACTGCTTGTACCATTTAGTTACAATGGCAAGGTCAGTTATGTCAAGGGACAGGCCATCAGCAGCGGATGTCAGCCGTCAGGTCGATAAGCTCTGGGGTAGTACCAGGCCTCAATGGGGAACGTATCAATGAGGGAAGTTTGATTGTGAACTCGGGGGGAAAAAGGTGAATACCTATGGATTTTAGGAATTGTGAGCGTCATCACAGTTTGCCCAACATAATGTTGAGGATTTAGTGTCCTTTCAGTGTGGATTAGGTGTTAGAAATCCTGGGGCCACATGGTGGCTTTCAACATAAATTGATGGGGAAAACCCAGTATGCTCAAGCAATGCTGCGGCATGGGGTTTTTTGAGCACAGCCATTTTAGTGGCTCTATTATCCTGACTTTACACAACCAATGGCAAATGAGATTGCTGATAGAAACAGCTTTCAGAAATTGAATGATACCACCCTTTTAAAGGGGGTGCTTTAAGGCTTTTTGCTGTCTGATGTTGATTTTGAACACACAACAGATGAAGAGTCCAGATATATTTTGAGTATGAAAAAGCCTCCATATTAATTATACATCAGTATAATTTTATCATTCTTTGTTACTTTTTTCTTTTTAATTCAATAAATATATTTGCTTGCTACATTGAGTATTTGTAGATTTAAAAGCAGAGGAAATTTGTGCCCTTATGGCAGATGCAAAGCAGACTTCAGCATTAACATAACTCATTAAAATAAGATAAAAGTAGAGCTGCAAAACAATTTCTGTCTTTTGCCAACAAGGTTGTGAAAAAGGGAAATTTCACTCATTCAATATATGAAAGTCTAATCTTTCTGAACTGCGAAGAGAACAGAGTAGGCAAAAAAAGACTTGTTTGTGCAGGTTAACGGGCTGGGTCTACTCAGGTAGATAACCAGAATATACAAAATTCTGGGGACATTAAGAAAAATTACCTTTTTGGATGATGAAAGTTCCTTCACCAGCATTAGCAAAATGTGCATAAAGCAAGTGTGGTTTATTTTGGTGATACACAATTTGCTGGTTTCCAACCCCTTTCCCAGTCGCATGATTGAAACCTGGAAATAAACTACCGTTTACTCAATGTTAGGTAAGGCCTACTTTATTTATCTGTTTATTTTGGAATGGAAATAGATAAAATGGATACAGTGGATTCAAATGCATCCAGACAAAGCTTTTTCAGTGTTTAATGCTCTGAACTCCACAGGGTGAACCCATCACTTTTTGTGAAGAAACATTTGTGTCCCATCGTTCTGCTGTCATGAGGCAGTTTCTTCAGAATGCCATCCAGCTCCAGCTCTTTAAGCAGGTACTGGCTTAATTGCTCTAATGTAGAAGCAGATTCTGTAACTATACAACGGGGGTTTTTTTGAGGGCTGCTCCTATATTCCTTGATCTGTCAGCCACATAATACGGAAAGTTCATGTAGTAGGCAGCACCTTAATTCCTACTTGCTGGCTTTTCTCAGATTAGGTGATAAGGCTTTCTGTATTTTAAGAAGTGTACGGTTCTTTCCCCTAAAGGTCTCTGTGCTCAGTTTTGATCTGAGCATACCTTGACCAATGTATCAGCTGCAAACTTTGTACAGAAAGCATATTACTGTTAAACATGGTGTTGCTGCTTCAGGGAAGCTGAAAGCATATGTGTATACACAAACACACGAACGCTGGTGTTTTAGTGAAGCAGCATACCTTTCTGCATTGCTAAGCATTTTGCCGGTTTTGGTTGTATTTTGGTTTTGTTTAGAGTCCCTTCCTGATAAGAACATTGGGATTGTTATAGCAAATGCAGCACAAAGTCTTTCTGAAAAGGTAATGGATGAGATGGTTGATTTGTTTACGCTCTCTTTTGACACTGATATAGTTCATTGATGGCCGCCTCGATCTTCTTAACTCTGGTGAGGGCTTCAGCGATGTTTTTGAAGAAGAGATAAATATGGGAGAATATGCAGGTAGGAAATACAGTATTTTACAGTAATTTCGAACACTGTTCTTGACTTGCTGTTCGTGGGCCAGCGTGATGTAATGGGTCTTTGTGGTTTCTTACCTAAATAACTGAGGCTGCAATGATCTGAACTTTGAGTAATGTATTGTAGTTTGAGTAAAGTCTGTTCAGTCTTGTAAAAACTCTGCTTTACCACTTGGCTGAAGTACAACTAAAAGAGTTCTTGCCATAGAGGATACTGAAAAACCTTGGCTTTACCTGGATCCACCTCAAATTTCTTTTAGTGATCTTAAAAAAAAACTCAGTGTTTTCAAATGTCCGAAAGACAACCCTGATAAAATAGAAATGCCTCTTAGCAAGTAAAAGAAAAATCATAGATATCTCGTCAGTTTTTTGCTGTGTTTCCATTAAAAGAAAAGGGTGTTTGTCCTGTTCATGTTCCTAGAACCACTAAGTGCTAACACTTCACATTTCTAGCTCGTTTTCTGTTTGGTAGAGAGTTACAGTTTGTTTTTGTGATTCTCTCTAGGTAGTGACAAATTGTACCACCAGTGGCTCTCCACAGTAAGGGTAAGAACACAATATTCTTCCATCAGACATTCTAATTCGTACTGGACCGCTGGACAGTTCTGTATGGCTGTAACCTCTGCCCCCATGAACACGACTAACCTGTTTCCTTCAGTGTTTAGCTGTGATCAGCTTGAGATTCGTTGTGAGAAACTAGTGTGCTCTTCAGATGAAGTAAAGAACAGAAGGAAAAATACACTAATAAAAAAATCACCATAGGAATCTCAAGTTTTTGAATCCCATTTTAATGTCTTGGAGACAGCTGGAAATAAGTTATTGTTGGTTTAGAAAAGAATGTGTTTTTTCTTCCCTTTTAATAGAAAAGGAAAGAAAAGGGAAAGTTGCCACACCAAAAATCTCTTTATAAAGCTAAATGGTGTGAAGTGCTGAATGGGGACAGCACTGGTTGGGATGTGTTTTGTATCTCTTTGGTTTAGTGGTCTAGTTGTATAAATTAAAAATCTAAATACTTTTAGAGAGTAATATGTTATTACAGCTGATAATTGGCAGCTGATTTTAGAAGTCTCTTTTGATGCATAAAATGTGATGTGTTCAGAAGTAAAATATTTCTGGTTAGTGGGTACGAGTCAGTAGGAAAGATTGAATTGTTTTCTGACAGAATTCAGTTTTGCAGCCTTTTGTCCTGGTTATGAATGGAATTATGTTTCTTACACAAAATGCTGGGTTCAATATTATCTTGGTAATTTTGAATTAAACATATTTCGTAGCAGTCAGGCAAAAAATCCCATCATATAGTTAGATAGGTAAATATATATTCATAAATATATATAAATATGTAGGTTGACAAGTAATTTTAAAATTATAAGAAAGGGGCGTGGCTGAGAGTGAATATAAAAATAAGTGTAATTAAATTCAACAATTTCTAATTTTTGTTGAAGATTAATTGTCATGTAGTAACAAGCAGTAGATCTTAAACTGTTTGCATCTGATTGCATCTGATCTCTGGAAATATAATTTTACACTGAAATAAGAAAACGTAATGTTATCTAAGATTTTATTCCTTGGGTTTTACCCATCTCCTGTACTTATCAAATAAGGTATTGTACAGCCATAGTCAGTGATGTGTGGAAGATGTGTAAAACGCCGACCAAGCTAACAGATTATTCTGTCTGACATGTTACTGTCTTATGACTTTTATTATGTTCACCACATGCAATTCAGCTTTTCTAGAATTAATGTTTATGACTGTAGTTAGATTTCGTTTTCCCTCAATTTATCCCTTTATCAACTACTTAGATCTCAAAAAGGCAGCATGCTTTTGATAAAGAGTGTTGTGGGATCATGAAAAGGAAGATGGAAAAAAGATCTTATTTCTTCAGACTGAATGTACAGGCTTTCCTGAAACTGAATTTTCTGCCCCAGGCATTGAGTACTTGGGAGGATGCTTTTGTTCTAAACTTGTTGAGGATTTTAATGCAATGTACAGGGCACCCTTGAGGGTGAGTGGAACAGTCATAGAGCACTTTTGTGAGGTGACTGTAAGACAAGGGGGTCTTGGTATTAGGAGACACCGACATTTTTCATTTGAAAACTGATGTATTAAACAGAATTGGGGTTCCTCTGGGAAACCAGAGAAACATTTAGAGTGTTTTAACTTGTGTCCTTTTTCTTTAAATTTACTATTTTAATACACCTCTCTACTAATAAGCCTATTTGTTATGCTTAGGTTTTAGATTTAGATTTTAAATTTTAGATTGTTGTCTGCTTTAACGAGCTTTGATGAAATTTTTTCTATCATTACTATAATTATAGAAAGGAAGTGGAGCCATTTTAAATACAGTAAAGACCAAGGCTAACCCTGCCATGAAGACTGTCTATAAGTTTGTAAGTATCAAGTACTGGCTTACTACTGAGATAAGAGTCTAATTACGATTCTGTTTTAGCCTTTCAAATGAAACTCAAGACTTAAATTCATTTTTATTGGACTCACAAAACTACGTAAAATATGCATTCATCGAAATTTCAAATTCAAATGGAAAAGTAATTTTGAAATTTAAACATAATTGAAATGCAAAGGAGGAGGGGAACTTGTGATTTCTTTTGAAAGTATAGATGATAAATTCTATTTATTACATAGAACTATTTGTGAGAAATAGCGCCTATATGCCCTACTAAGCAGCTCTACCATCTCATCATTGCTCTGTTGGAAATCATTGTTACCTCGGGTTTCTCTGCTTGCAGCTTCATCGAAATAAGGGAATCCTCTCATTTTCCAAATTGTTTCCATCTTTTCTAAATGTCAATTAATTTTCCCTGGAGGTTTCTTACACCTGCTTATTTAGAGCCCAACTTACTGAGTTATTCTTTAAAGGAAAATGTTTTCAGTTCTGTTAGCCCAGTGCCGTACCAGCTGTTTGTTATCATGCATGGCTGCCAGTTCCACTGTGCAAGATAAAACAATATGGAAACAAGTGAGGATTTCGTATAAGCTCGATTTTAGGAAATAATGCTAGAAAATTCACTGAGATGTCTGTTCAAACTTTTCTCCTGCCTTCCTAGAGCCTGAGAAAGAGGAGTAGGATGAGGTTAGCTCTGCTAAATGGCACTGACATCCAGAATTCTGCAAGGAGAAAGTTTGCAGGCTTACTGTTACCGTTGGTTGTTGGCTTATAGCACTGATAAATGCTTGGAGGGGAAGACCGAGGGTGTGGAATGCAGAAGGATGAAAGATGTCTGACATCAAAACAGAGAAAACAGTTTTTGCAATGACTGTGTGTTGGGGGGAGGTGGTGGTGATTTTTGTCTGCTGGTGTTTGGTTTCTTTAGCTTTCTATTTGTTTTCAGTATCCTTTTACAATTTTTTCCTTGCCATTTTTAGTGACTAGAGAAGGTGAATCTTGATGCACTGAAATCAAGCGTTGTCACTGCTGGAAATAAAAGGGGATTTTAACTTAAATTAATTTTTCATGCAGGCAAAAGATCATGCAAAAATGGGAATAAAAGAAGTGAAAAACCGCTTGAAGCAAAAGGTACTTGAAGTTCTTATTCAAAATGTATAAGCACCACGTAAGAAATACTTAGCCACAAAAAGCATTATGTGATCAATAGGAAGCTGTTTGATACAGTGTTGTTAGCACACTTCAAAATGCATTACCAGCTGTCCCGGATTTTTCACACTGTTATAAATATTCACAGACAAAAAAAACTGTCTTCAAATACATTAAGGCTCTGACTTAAACTCACAAAAGCCAGAAAATTGAGTGTTCTATTTGGAGTGGTCCCTCTCCTGTCCTTTGTGCTGGGGTGTTGTGGAAGGGGACTTGATGTGACCTGGGAGATCTTTCTTACAGTAATAGCAGTAAACTTTTTGCAAATGGTAAATTGTTGTTATTCCTACAGTAATCTCTCAGGGAAAATAGCGTAGTGTCTGTCATTGGGGACAGGATTTCTACATTTCATGAGCGTCTGCTGCAAACTTTAGATATAAAGGAATTAAATTAGAGTTGGTGTTCATTTCAAATTTGAATTATTGCAGAAAAAATTATCAAACTGTTTGTTGTATTCCATATCTCCCTTTGTAAATGGTACAATTCCAAGAATGCTGAATTGTGTTTGAAGAATGTATGATCCAATAGTGTTTGCTCCTTTTAAGCCAGAAGTATGGTCATATTGATACACACCTTATGAATGAATGCTTAGCTCTGCCTTAGGTTTATTTCAGTTGTTCTGTCTGTTCTATGAAGCAGAGCTGTTAGAGTCTTTTGGGAAAACGAGATAGCGAACTTGCTAATAGAACTGAAGTTCTTATTCAGAAATTTTTATTTTGTTTATTGCATAATAGTTTTGGGTTTTTTTTAATTTGTGTTATCCCAGTAAATTTCTTCTCTAAATTTCTAGACCATCATCTTTAAGATAGCGCTGCAAATACATTCCTGTGGCACAAACAGAAATCTACCTGAACGTGTCCACAAAACGTTAATACAAAGGGGTTATTGTGCAGCCAGGTTATGAACTGATAAAATTAACTGTGCCTGCAGTCCAAATGCCGTTCACTCTCTAAATACTCTAGCAGATTGCTAGAGATTTTTGAGGAAGATAAAGTTGCTTCAGATGCTTTTAATGCTGTTTTATTTTATTACACTTACTGCTTTATACATGACCACTTTAGGTATAATACGAAAACATTAGAAGCATGAAGCAGTTTTCTTGTACTTGGAATTTTTTATGTAATTTCATGTGTTTCACTTCTGGACATAATCTTCATGAATAATAAAATGTTTGGCCTTATGTGCATTTCTAAAGCAGTCGGAGCTGTGTGAAATGACCAGATTGTTTTCCTGTATTTTAAATGCTAATATAATTGTAAGCTATTCTGTGACATTTGTATAAAAGGCTGAGAAATGTCTCATTCATTCATTGCTTTGTTTTATTATTATTGTTGTCTTCCTAGTCCTTCAAGCAGCAAGCATTCTTTTTAAGAAACACACATAACATTTACAGATAACTGGCCCAATTTTGTTGCACCTTCCTTATTATGTGGCGTTTCTGTAAGATGGTTAAACACGATTGTTCAACATATGCTTTCAGGAGAGCTTAGAAGATTTCTAGGAGTAGTTGACACATACTGCTCTACCTCTCTTTTCTTCATTAAGTCTGTTCTTTTCAATCCCATCCTCTTCTCCGTTTTGAATGCAAGGTAGCAAGATAACTCTGAAATGAGGTATTGCTCTGTTTAATGTGATAAAAATAGCAAAAATTTGTTTTGGATACCCTCGTATTATTTTTAATCTAAATGTCTGTGCTGCTCTGTTGACAAGTCTATTAGTGCATCCTCATCAATTTTCAGATATGAACATTGTATTTTTCATGTATTTACTTACTAGTTGTTATGTGCAAGTGTTAACTGTCTGAAATTCTAGCATAATTAAATACTTAATTTTTGCCAAGTTTGGGATGCTAGTCTTTCATCTTCTAAGGATAACCTAAGGTTATTTTTAAACTGAACTTACTATCCACCGCATTTTAACATTTTATTTTCCATTATTAATAAAAAAAGTATGCAGGCCACTGGTAAGAAAAAGTCAAATATAAACATCCCTTTTCCAGTTTTCCCTGCCAAATATGAGCAGCTTCTGTACAAGATAGAATTTAAAAATGCAATAAAGCTAGAGGTCTGCTTCCTACAACTCTGCATAGCAATGGTGACCTCTTAAATATAATCAAGAGCCCATTTTGCCCTTGGTCTGCTCCAGTCTTGGGTTTGAATTGCAAATGGGAAATGCAGGATTGACCTGTTGAGAGGTCACTGTGGTGTGTGTAAGGTCCTTCTTTAATATGATAGTAGAGATTGAATGGGGCTCTATTTCCATCCCTTGTTCATTTGTGGTACAGTATTTCAAAGCAACAGAAATAGTTTTCAGAGGATTCTTATGAGTGATAGCAAATAATTGTTAATAGAAACGGCATGGTAGCTTTATTTTATATCTGATACAGTACTTTTTTTCTTTTTTCTTTTTTTCCTCTCTCTCTTTTTTTTTTTTTCCCCTTGTAAAGGCTGCTTTTTCCATTTCACACATGGACCATGGTGGTCAAGTCACTCTGTTATTGGCTTGTTTGAAGCTTAACTACATAGAATTAGGAAGAAGGAGGAATATGAATGGTACCGTCCTCAACTTTCAGTAAGGAGAATGTAACTTACTGAAAGCTTCTGGATAAGACAGTTTATATAAATGATTGGGCACTTGGCGTTAATGTATTCAACATTATTTTACTTACTAGAGCCCTGTGTGGCTCTAGTTAATGTCTGTTATCAATGGGCTGTTGTCCGTACTTTGTTATCAGTACAGCTAGATACAACTCATTTAGAGGTTTATAAAATAACCTGAAGAATCCTTCTAGACATGCTGGAATGTGTTTTTTGCTCTTCTAATAGGCAGTATTTGTAATCCATTACAAATGGTCCTTAGACAAATTACTGATGCGTATTTAAACCGAAGAAAACCTTATTCAGTTTCCAGGGTAAACTTTACATATCTGTAAGTATATAATCTTATTCATTCTCTGAAGTTCCTCCTTTAAAATAAATAGGTAGTAAAGATTTCACCTGAACAGGCAGTTGTTAGGGGAAGCACTGTTTATATATGGAGATAATTATGGAGTGTGATAGATCATTGTCATTCTCTTTTCCCAGTAATTTATAAGGTATCTTTTTTTCCTCAGGCAAAGGGTGGGGGTTTTTTTAATAATATCCTTAAATTACACTTCCTTTTCATTAAGAAGTCACTGAAACAATGCTAGGTTTTGCATTTCTGGAGAATTTATTCCAGTAATGAGTAAATTATCACCTTCCATTTTTTTCTGTTTTTTGGGGGGAGGTATAGGTCTCATGTTTGTTGTTGTTATACTGAATAATATATATAGCTTATACCAAATCCCTTCACTGGGGACTTGTTGGAACTGAAAAGCCAGACTTAGGAGATACCTACCCGGTGTGGTGCACGGGGTACCGCTCATGAGCACCAGCCAAGCTGGTGCGCTTACACAGCACAGCTTCAGGTGGAAGCCCTGGTCTCAAAAGCCCTGTGGAGGCACGAGGCAGCGTTCTGGCTGGTAAATCCTCTGTCAGCTGGGATGCACAGGTCTGCCTGGCTTTTCTGGTGGTACCAGGAATGGGCACTGCTTTTTTAAGGCCGGCCTGCACTATGATCCACTGCGGATCTTTGGTCGTTTGTAGTTCTCAAGCTGAAGAACTGCTTTTATCAGTAGGCATTTTGTGAGCCCTGATACCTTTCTGAAGCTGAAGTTTTCCTGTTTGTGGTTTTATCTCTCTGTCTGTCTTGTACTCCCCGTTGACTTCTGAATAACTGCATTCAAGGTCCATTAGTGGACTGGAGATACATCTCAGACTACTTTGAAGGACTGTTGTCTACTTCCAATTATAGAAACACTTTGACATTTAATCATTTTAAAGCTACTAGGAGCCCTTATTTTGGGGCGTTTAAAATCAGGTTTCTCTGTTTATTTAGCTCAAATGTGTTTTCATTGAAGGCAGAAAACAAACTTTTCTGAAGCAAATTTTGCTTTGATGACTGAAGCTGTGTTGTTGATTTTCAAAAGATACAAATAATCTAATTCTCATGTTTTAAGTAAATTTAAAAAAAAAAATTTTGACTGAAATCTGCTGCAGTTTCGTTGGAAGTCTGTACACCAAACACAGTGGAAATGCGCTTTAGGATGACGTTAACTTTTGTATGCAATTATATCATCAGAGAAGTACAGCAAATCTATAGCAATAAAAGCTGCACGGATTTGCAGTGATCGTTACACTTCTTAGGGGGGTTGCGTAATGGCTTGATCTGTCTGTGTCTTTTATCTCCTCCTGTTCCCCTGATGTCCAAACTTTTGCATCCGTTTTACATTTTTCTGGAAATTTTGCCTGGACTGGAAGGTGCTCTGTGTTCTGTTTTTCCCAGCTGTCTGTGGCCTTGGTTGGAGCCACAGCTCCAGGTGGAGCTCGGAAAGCTCTGAAGTGCTGGGAACCTCCACTGTTCAGTGCGGGTCAGGTGGCTTGGAATGTGCTGGCCACCTCTGTGGCACTTACCGGACAGGTCTGAAGCTTGGTGCCCATTTAATGTGGCTGTACTTGTATAGAAAAATGGAAATGTAGTTTGTATTTAATGTCATTACTTTTCAGAATGGTGTATGTTGCTGCCGTAGGTTGTGATTACAAAACGGGTCAGATTCCTTGGCTGCTTGGTGCTGTTCTGGAGCTGAAGTATGAGTTTCACAGAAGCTTATGTTTCTTGTCATTGAGTTGTTTTGGGGCTCCTTGTTATTAATTCCGTGTCCTTTGTTGTATTTTTTTAAAGACAAGGTAGCATTGTGCAGCCAGAGGGCAGGGGGAGGAAAAAGTTTTTCTCTCCAGTTTGACCTTAGCAAGTTGTTAATTTCCCCGCGATCCTTATGCCCATATTGGTGAACCACCGCTCTACCAGCTGGATCTAAAAAGGTCTCTCAGCTTCTCTGTGGAGCAGACAAAGCCCCTTAGAAAGTCCATCCAGCTTTTTGTTTCATTTGACCTAAACACATTAGGTCAGTCTGTGTCCAAAAGAACCATTTCTAATTGGCCATCAGCTTACATGTCTCATTATTGTACCTTAGCAAGACGGAAACTTGAGGGGGCATGTCAAAGGTCAGGGAATCAAAGCAATGTCTGTGTCAGCAGCCAACCTTAGGTCAGTCTTGCAGAGCTACAGCGTGTGCAGGTTTCTCTCTATATTTACCAAGCATTATTTCCTTGACATTGTTGCAGAGAGATGTAAGGTTTGGGGCCCACTGCGTTACAGACTGTTTCTCAACTGACTTTCAAACTCTTTTCTCCTTGTCTGATTCCTTATGTGTGCATGCCTTTGTCTTTTTCAAAACCTATGTTACTTATACCATACGTACACTTGCCAAGTCTTCTAACCTAGGTTGATGGGTCACTTTACTTCTGAAGATGAGGACTAATGTCAAAGCAAAAGCAAAGCAAAACAAGAAAGCATCGTGCTAGGCAGCACTTAGTTTTGTACAATCTCCTGAAGCCATATTCAGTATACACAGACTGAGAGCTAAAATGCAAAGCTAACGAAGCTGTGAGTTTCATCTCTCCTTGCCATTTGCACAATTGTTCTGCTGCAGATAATTCTGTGAATTACGTAAATAGAATTACTGTTTTCATTTAGGTTTGCAAAAAGCAGAATAGCCCTGTTCTTAGGCTTCCCTTGAATTTATTCCTGGAATAGACATTTTGAGCTATGGTTTTTTCCTCCCTAAATATATTTCCTGGCTTTTGCAGTTTAAGTCAGACATTTTATTGAATGTACCTGTTTGCATACAACGTTGGTATTAGGAGGAGAGCGTGGTTGTGTACAAGCTCTGATTGACAAAGTGCAATGAAATGTTTTATTCTAATGATGTTTTCTTTTCTGTACTTTGGTGTTTTTTCCCCTAACATCAAAATTGTTAGTCAGCATTATCCTCTAGTGTCTCCTTTGTGCCCCTTACCCTTAATCAAGAATGTTCCTGGCCCTGCTATTCACCTTTTCCTACCATACAGGACATTGCTGAGAACGGGTGCTCTGCAGCACCAGAGGAGTCTCTGCCAAGGACAGCACCTTCTCCTTTGGTGGAGAAGAAGGACCCCAAGTTACGAGAAGACAGGAGGCCAATCACAGTTCATTTTGGTCAGGTATGTCTTAGCGTTAGGTTTCTTTCAATTGCGTGACTCAGCAAAAGTAATTCAGAGAACAGTCACAATAGCAAACATGACAATTGTTTCATTGTTTTTTGTAACTGAATTGTGGTCTTGTAGATTTGTTTCTGTTGTGTCTGTTTAAATGAGATTCTAAAACCTGATTTTTCTGGGGTTTACCGCTTCCATTTGTTCATATCAGGATTTTGAGGAAAATAAATTCTAAGTGAATGGGGGGAGAAGCATAATGATTATAGCCATTTTATAAACATTTTGCTGTTCTTTTAGCATGCAAAGTGTTATAGCCCTCAGGACTGAGGATGTATGATTTAAAATGTCCTCTGTTATCTGGCCAGATCATTAGTGTCAATATGGAACATCCAACTATTAAAGCATTTTAACATTCTCTGAAAATTAAATGCGATGAACTGAGATGGAAAAATCAATTAATAGCTTATTAGTGTCCTCTGTATTTCAGTATTGACAACCGAGCTGCACACATTAGTTGCTCTTGCAATGTTTCTTTTGATATGTCTGCAAAAGAGTGAGGTTGGCTGTGTAGGTTTTTTAAGAGCTAGTTATTTAGAAAATGTTGTAGTTGCTGTGATTTTTGTGGAAAAACATACAGTATTATCAGTTTGCCAGTGTTCCCCTATTAAGTGTAGCCTGACTCAAAAAATAACATTGTGTTCACAGTTCTCCTCTTTTTCTCTGTATCTAATTCTTACAGTATTATGATCAGAAAACAGGAGTGATTGTCTGATTTCTTCTCAGGAAACATAGTGTGATTTTAAAACAATTGTAAAATATGTAAATTATAAAATGTGAAGCAAACGAGATTTTTAGATAAGTATCTGATAATAGAAATCAGTAAGGATAGCTGCATTGCCTGTTTAGGTATTAGATAAGGGTACACGAGGTATAACGGTTGTTCAGAGCAGTGTTGTTTGTATCAGTTTAGAGTTAGATTTGTTTCTTTCAGAACTTTCACTGCTGTGCTAAATGTAAGTTCTTGGAGACTTTTTTTTTAAAACAGATTCTCTTCCAATTAAATATTTGCAGTAGTGATTTATTTTTCTCCTCCTTTCTGTGCCAGTACAGTTGAGAGGAATTGGGGCTACTGGAGAAATGTGACCATCTAGCTCAAGCAGGAAAATGTTAGATTTCATTTAAAGCAGTCAAAATCCAGATTGTAATATTCTAATCTTTTTCTTTTAGATTTTTATGAAAGATGGATGGTTCAAACATTTTGGTAGATTAATGAAATATATAATGGAGTGGAGAGTGCAAATTTAAATTCATGAGGTTTTTTAACGGTCACTTTCAAATTTTTTAATGATCACTGTCTCTGTGTCAAAAGAAACACACATCAGCTTTCCTGAACCACTGGCTGTGGTAAAAGGCTCGCTTGCTAAATGCTTATTACTGTCATTACATTACAAATGTCCGTTTCCAAAAAATGATCTAACTTAGCAGTTGTAGGGCTGTCTCACTTATAGCCTTTGTCCTTCCACAGGTCTTTTTCTCCTGATAGCCCGATGCCAAAATGAGAATTAAATCATACTTTCAGAAGGAAAAGATGTTCAGGTTTATGAAATATAAATTAAGGCTTTGGGGGGAAAAAATGCAGCAACATTTACTGTTTAAATGGGAGATGGCTTCTAACCAGTGATTAAAGGGAGAGATTTTAGTGTCACTTTTAACTCTGTCTAGAATACAGTAGGTGGGAACAATTAAAAAGCCACAAGAACTCTGAAATAAGGGCTGTTTGTGCATTCACAGTTCTTATAAACTGAAGAGGATGAAAGAGGCTTTTTTCTCATTGTCACTTGCTTTCTATGTCTGCTAGTATTATGCTAGTGTATATGGCAAAGGCAGACTTTTTTAAAATGCATGCATGCGGATTAGGGTCAAGCCCTGTGTATCAGTAATGCAGTAAGCCTCGTCCATAGCACTGCAGTGAGAGAGCCTACCAACAGCAGCGAGATGCTTTAATTGAGACATGCTGTCAAAGTGACAAACACATTTGCATACAGTCTATTTATTTTCGTTGGAAAGGTCTGCAGTCTGCTGTTGGTTGAACATTCTTAATCAGCTCGCTGTAAGTGAGCCGGCAGCTAGCTGTCCTATGCTAGGTGCTTCTCTTCATTACATGACAGATTAGCTAAAGGGGGATGGGCTAGCAAGGCAGCAGCAACCTTTAATTTTAACTCATTATCTCTCACCCTATAGTGAGGTAGTTTCTAGCTTTTCCAGATACAGTTGTGTATCTGCAGTTGTTAGGCTACAAAAAATACCAGGAAAATATCTTGAAATGCCTTTGAATGTATAGCACCGCAGCTGATTGTTCTCAAAAAATTTAGCAGCAATTCTCGAACTGGGTGAGATTCCGTAGTGGTGTAGCTCATCTTGGCGAGTGGTTATCAGGCATTGTTTGAGAGGGTTGTTTGTTATGGAACTGTTTTAACGGTGGTTTCTGTAAGCCTAAGAGTTGTGGGAAAGCTCTCCGTGATTGTCAGAAGGACTTTAGCCAGATAGCCTAGGGCAAGGCGATAAAGACTGAAGCAAAGCCTTCTTAATAAGACTGCACAAGGAGACCAAAGTGGAAGGGCGGGACCACAGCTTTTTCTCCGGTTTGACTTTGCATGCTTTTTGGTTGACTCAGGGTGTACCTTTAATACTGACCCTCAGATCAACCAAGTACAAGGAACTATCGTCATGGACTCCGAGGCAACACAACTGTGCTCAACAAGTAGCAAGAGCAATGCAGGCAACTGAGGTTTAATGAGTGGAGAGAAGAGGGAATGATTTTCAAGCCAAGAAAGAAATTCAAATGAATAGCATGTAGTACTGAACAGTGCTCTCTGTTTTGGGGAAAGTCAGGTTAATTATAGTACAAGGTACAATGCTACAGAGAACATCCTTTGTGAATGTCTTATTATCGCTTGCTTTCTTCCGGCTTTTTGTCTGAAACCCTGACCAAAACTTACTTGAAAACAATAGAACACATGCTGCATGTTCAGCTACCAGCGTCCACCACTGCTGTTGCTGCCCGTGGGTCCTCCCAGCGGGGCCAGGCAGGGCGTGCACTGCGAGCCCAGTAACCGCTGACCAGGGCAGGGTGGGACAGCTAATGCAGGTGATGGGTGACTCGGGTGTTTGTAGCTTTTGCTGGCACGCATACACTCCCACTTTTTGGGTAGAGTGCACGTGTTTATCTTGGTCATCTTTTAGCTATTTGGAGAATAAACGCTACACTGTGTCACTGTGCATTCCTTGTCCAAGCAAGCAGCTGTTAGGGGCTACTTTGGCAGGACCCACAGCTTGAAACATTGAGGTCTGTTGTGATACTGGACACGTTTGGTTCAGGTTGGTTTTTTGGAGGGGTGGAGGATGTTATTTGGTTGTTGCTTTGGTTTTGTTGTTTGGGTTTGTTTTTTTTCTAAATAATGTTCATTTGCACCTAATGGCTGCAGAAATTTTAGAAGTCTTACTGTCTTATGTTCAGAATAAGGAAGAATGGCTGAATACAGACCTTTTCATAGTGTTTTTCAGAATCTGAGTTCGCATTAGTGGTGCTTGAGTGTGTGTTTTTCCTAGAAATTTCAGCTTCTATCACTGGACTGTTGGTGGTGGCGAGCTACAGTGATAAGGGTGCTGCACGGAGCATAATGATAAGCAGCCTTAGATCTCTTCCACTTTGTGATTTTCATTAACTGATTGATCTGTATTGCGGTTCAATTTTGTCTGATTTCAGAAGTATGTTGTTTGAGGAGTTCTTCACATCTCTACACCCTAAACAAACATGAAAATTTATAAGTTGCCTTTATGCCAAGGGAAGAAAAAAAAAAACAAACCACAAGACATTTTTCTTTTCTTTTTGCAAGGCTGAACTATCCTGTTAAGGTATTTTGGGGGTTTCGATTTTTTTGAAGGTGTTTTTGAGACAGAAGGCTCAAATATCTCATTCAGGTATTTGGGTAAGTGATATTTATACATGTTATCTATGTAATAGCCCAAAAGCAAAGAGTTTGGGAAATGCAGGCATGTCCTCATTGATGATGATTGTATAGCTGCTTCAAGTAACGCAAGCAGCTCTCCAAAATATCTAGATGAGTTTTTAATGAGCAGCAGGCTTTTTGTCGTTCTCTTATATATATGTATTTTTGCAATATCTAAAACAAAATAAACAAAACAAAAACCCTTTTTAATGTATAAATTGATGATTTTGCTAAAGGAGAAAGGTAGATTAATATCTGGATCTGATACTTTAGAAGCTTTTTCCCTCCAGCAGACAGTGCTTAACTATTAGGCCACTGGTACACCACTGTGGCAAAGATAAACACTTATGGTGTCTGTGTACCACAGCCAGGAGAAGAAATGCTGAATGATTTTTAGGTTTTTGAGACTTTGCTTAGGCGAGCGGACACATTGACAGGTCCCTCTAACTACTGAGGTTGTGTGTCCTGGTGTGTGTCCATACAGCTCTATCAGAACCGTCGTACAGTCTGAGATCGTGGGTGCCACGTGGTCAAACAGAGCACTTCACGTTTGGCAGAGTTGCAGCCCCCTTCTTGGAGTAAAGGGACCACTTTATTTTCCAAAAATGTACTTGTTTTTAACACATCTTTCTCCTAATGAAGCTTCTGCTTCTATGCACTATGCTTGGGAACATTCTATCTCTGGAGCTTTTACACAGTCAGTAGTACAACTGATCTAGTACAATTAAAACAACAAATGATAAGCTGCCAGAAACATCCTTTGTTGGGAAAGGGTATCATTTCATTAGAAGCAAGTTATACTGGCAGCTCTCTAATTGTTTCTATTATAATTAGAATGTCTTTTGTCAGCTTACGTGTGGTTGTGTTCCTGTGGCTTTTTTTTATTTACCAGCAAATAGAATATTTTATTCCATTTATGTACCAAAAGGTAAAACTTTCAGAAAATAGAGAAGACCCTTCCAAGTATGTCTTTACTTAAGAGATTCCATTCTTGAT